CGCAAATTCATCTTGTATAATCGCAAGAATAATCGAACGAACAGGAACACCAATCAGGGCGATAATTCGGCCACTTCTGACACCATGTAACGTTAGCCCTTCATGTATTGTAGCACAACACACAGACTATGCCAATGCAGCAATACAGCACACGCCGAGCTTGGCGGCTCAACCCGAACAACCGGAACAAGAATGCTCGGCCGGCTCTCCGTACCCCGGCCGTTGCTAGGCAACCGGTGGTAGATGGCGCCAGGTGACGGGCTCGGGAATCCCATCTGCCGACGCCCCCAAGAACACATCCTCTTAATCCACAATAGACCCACTTTCACTGCAGGCAAAGCGAACATGACGCTGGCTCATGACAGCCACAAACAACTTCCTAACCCTCGACTCCATGATCTTGCCATACTGAATGGCATCCACATGATCTAGGTTGGCCCCTGGTTCAAGTAGCCTAGACACCAGCTTTTCTGATGGCACATCAGCTTTGCTGGTATGGATTTGGTGGGAGGTGGTTCCAGTGATCCTCCCCAAGCGGTGCGCCTTCCATGCCAGTGAAGCTGATTGACGCCTGGTGACTTCCTCCAAACGAGCAAGGGTTTCTGGGGTACACAGTACACACAGACCTGAACTTGGCCAGGGCCTCTTCATCTCCTAGTTCATCGGGGTAGTCCGCCAGTGAGGTCATAAGTGGCGGGCAACCTGGTTTCAGCCCCTCTGGGACCTCATCCTCACACTCAGAGGCTGTGTCAGTTTCCTCCTCATCGACCTTTGGGATCATCTTAAAGAACACGGCTCTTGGACATATAGCCCTAAGGGATGTAAGCACATCTTTGCACGGGAGCTCAGCTTTGCCATCTGCCTGGATATTGGCAACGCCAGGAGGGAGGTTCGTGTTGCAAGCACTTCCAGCCTCTGTGATGGGAGTTGGGTCAACATGCTCACGGAATGTGGCATTCCACTTACACGCCTCATTCGTGCAGGACTTCTTTGTTAGTCCCAACCTAACTCCCATTTCCACTTTGAACAAAAGTGCACCAACATGGCTGCACACTTCCCCCAAACCTGCCATACACGTGCAATGTGCGCACTGCACAACACCATCCAGAGCCACCACTACCCATGGCTCGTGGGACTTGCTGTTGAGCCTCATGGATGGTACAACTTCAGCCTTCAAGATGACCACACCGTTGGCAGCCGCTGGCTGGTAGCTCTTCACAGTCTTGACATGTCCACTCTGCACATACCTGCAATAAAACATGTTTCACTCAGTGCCAGTACCTATGTTGTTGAGCCTCAATAGTGACACAAAGGTTGGTACACCCGTCTGCAGTTGGTTTGGCAGGCTACCTGGTCCTCTCGGCAAGCCAATAGGGGTCATAGGTGTGTTCGGCTCGCCAATAAGGTCGAGCAACCTACCAAACCAACTGTAGATGGGTGTACCTACTTTCACCAATGAAATGGCAAAAGCCATGCAGTCAGCCACTGACCTTTGGCAAGTGCAACGCTCTTGCAAAGCGTAGAATTTCGCTTTTCATCTGTGATTTTACCTGTTCTGTTAAGTGTTAACACAGTTCCTGGCAAGTCTGCCTTTTTTACGTGAAAGCAGCAAACACGTCTTTTTGCCTCAGGGAGCACACGCTCTACCGCACTGGATATCGCTTCAGCCGCGTCTCCCACTACCAGCCTCGGTTCAAAGGGAGAGTTTGTGTTTAAAAGACTAGACGTCACAAAACACACGAAGGTTTTCAGACTGAGGGGAGGCTCTATAGGTTTGTATATTTTAGACTCACCCTGCCATGCAAGTGCAATGTCCTGAAATGACTTCTCCGGACTCAGAACCCAGAACTCTCGCACAGAACCCATGCTTCGTATGGTTTAGTCTTCACTCCAACCCTCTGGCTGGGGAGTACCTACTTTTGATCTCAAGAACACATCTTTCTTCTGACCAACATCCACCTTTTTGGTCAGCACTTCTTGTACAATGTACATGCCCACTCTCAAAATATAAGAACGCCTCTAGAGAGCTGTATGCCTTCATTTTCTGGCATGTGTAGAGTCCTTTCCTCAACACAAAATAGACGTACATATCTGGAAAAGTCACAAAAGGTAGTTCGGACAGAACTGAGCACCACGCATCTGCATCGACTTGATAAAATGGATCAGGCATACGCACTCCACCCACAGTTAAATTCTCGTGGTATCTGTTACTGTCGGCTACACTGATCGGCTCAATCAGATTCTTCTAATTTTGATCCGTACTTTAAATTTTTTGCCAAAACACGAAGTAAACTATTGAAGACTTAACGTTGTGTGCTATGGCGGCCCCGCACTCCAATCACTCCAACCGAGTTATCGTCACTGGCGCGCCACTTTCGCTACAAAGTGTAACGTAGGCGGAGATCACTTCTATACAAATGAAAAAGTGGGATGTCACAATGTCACGGGTTTAGGTTTGCTTTGGTTTGATTAAGGTAGAAAGAACCATCTCCGGGTAGCGCCTCTCCTTGGTTGCTAAAACGAAACGCGCGAGTGCCAGACATTACGAAGTCCAAAAGACAGTTCGTAGACGTCGGCCAATTCTGATTTTTTATATGATGTAGCTACTGTATGGGAGAATAAAATATGAAAAAATCAGCAAAATCGAAGGGTACCCATTTTTCAGGAATTCAATTTTTTTTTTAATTTTATTTATGTTCACTAATTAGTTAATGACGTCAATATTGCTATCCTCAAATTAAAACCTGATCTATTCCCTCCATTTCAAACTTTGTCGCATGGTGATATGTCTAAAACTTTAAAGGTTATGACGCTTTAAAGATGATAATATGCCTTGCCTAAGTCAATGTTTGATGACGTGTATCTCGGAAACGTGACGTCATATCTTGACAAAAAAAAAATGTCTCCTTTCTTTTCACATATAAATGAGTAGTTTCACAAAGTTTCGCAAAAATCGGAGGAGGTGAGGTTCAAAATCGTTATTTTTTGTCCCACTTGACGTGGAATGCCCCAATACCAAAATGCTTTGTTGTTTGCTCTTATACCAAATTGTTTACCGCTTCTTTGACATGCTGGGCATGCAAAGGGAGTGGCTCCCCGTGTAGGACCTATGACGGCTGCCTTATGTAACATCTTAGTAGGGTATAGGACAACATCAGGCATATTCTCGAGCCACCTCCATGCCTCCCCTCCCCTCACCCTGGCTTGTTGTGTGTTACTAAGTGCGTAAACCCTTGTGATATAGGCTAACGGGAATCATACGCGATTGTCGACGGCATATAAATATACGGGGCTAAATGTGATCTAGCTACTGCCATTTAACTCTAAGTAATACGTGCCTTGAAATATCAGGATTGTGGGCGATTTGTACTTTGGTTTTTTATGTGTGCATCTTTGTTGCTCGGACCCTGGAAGGTTATGTGCATGTGATTTGGTACTTGCTTTGTGAATTATGGTGGGATTATGATATTGTAAATTTGTAATAAACATACTCTTGTCTTGTTTTGGTCTATGACCCCTGCCCCGATGTGCTAACGTTCAGGTGCTCCCTCCTTAGTAACGTGGTGTCGGTTTGAATGGTTTGTTCAGGCAGGCGACGCCGTGACATTGCTTCCAATCAACGGGACTGCGTTGACCTTTGGCTCGGCAAACTGCCCATTACTTGTTCGGGTCAACTCTGTTCGTGTGGATGACGCGTGCACCAATAAATGCCACTGACCTTCCGGCTGCGTGTGGTTTCTTTTGTGCTTTCATTGATCAGTAATAAAAGTATTGGTTGGGAAGTCCGGAAATATTTTTGAGTTATAATGCTGCGTCTTAAGCTTGTGGTCTTTGATAGGGTGTAGCACGTATTGTCCGAGTTTCGACTCGTTATTTTTTCATCGGGCCTGTCAACTGCCACTGCTCATCCCTGCCAGGTCTGCCACAGGGGTGAGGGGCAGCGGATGAGGTTTGTCGGCTTCACGAAGCGCGGTGTTACCGGCGCCCCTCTCGACCCCTGGCAACAGCAGCTGCAGCATGCAGGCGTCGTGGTTTGGACAAACTGTCCCTTGCCCCGCGCTGTGTGTGCCGATGGTATCAGTCGGCTGTCCTCTGTCGAGAGATTAACTGGGGTCTGCACTGTCTGATATTCTGATAAACTCGTAAAACACTACGGAGGAATATTTGAACGCGTTTTTCGGGCTTCTCAATTGGTATGCAGTACCAATATTTAAAATCTTGGAAATGAAGATTAGTCTGTCTTTTGCTGCATATTTGAGGTTCAGTCCAACTGACCTATTCTTCACGCCCAATGCCGCCCACTCTCTCAGTCTCCTCTCTCCCACGGTGAACCGTCGGAAGCCGCACGGTCGGTAAGGTACTACCACAGACCTCTGTATTGTATTGAACAATCATGAGCGATCCACATTCTCAAAGTGCGTGGCGATTACTGCTCACGGTATACAGAGGTCTATGGTGCTACGTATGTTGTCGACGTTGAAGGCCCCACACCGCCTGTCCTATCTCCCGTCAGCGCTCCTGACGGATTAACATCGAGAAGCAGCGTGCTGGTTCGATATGTGACGCTTCCGATGCTGTCATCCTGAGGTATATTCATCATCGCGGTAGCTTCCGCTCGCCTGGTGTCATCTATTCTGCGCTGATTGCGTGACGATGTGTGTTGGTTGAACAGAGAGCGGGGTAAAGCAAGCATAAAAATTGACTCCACCGAATAGGAAGGTATTGTTTCACCGAATCGGCTGCATTTCACGACATCAAGTTACAGTCGAACATATTGCACCGCCCTTAGTACGTTACGTGTGCACTGAAATTCTGGTAAGTGTTATGAGTACAACTCTACGCTGCTCAGGCAGGTAAGCTATTGAGAGCCAGGTGTACACATGTCCGAGACCGAAACGTTTGTAGTGTTCAGAAGTCACTTTAGCGTCAGTGTTCAGCATGTGGAACGAAAAGCTGCCTGGCTAAGGCGCTCGCGTCGTTCGGCCCGAACAAAGGGTACATTAGAGCCTCAGGTCGACTCGCCAGAGTCCACTGTTGACTTTTATTACACATCCAAAGCCATCGCACGATATATAGAGCACCTGGCAGCGAAGTATCCGTTCATTTCGACCCCACTCCACGGGAAGCCTCAGAAATGCCATCTCCATCTGTCTCGACACAGATCGCCCCGACTGTGTTGGACACAAAATGGCGACTGGGTGGCTCCCTGCGCACTTGTTTCGACAATTACAGTCATCAGCGCGGGGTTCAGGACGCTCCCGTTCGTCACCATCAGACAGGACGGCGACAGCTGCCCACGAGGGCACACGGCTGCCGATAAAGCTCGTCAGAAGAAACATCAGCTCCTGAGAGGCGGAGCGGCGCGGCGGAGCGCGGACGGCACGCACAGTGGCGGAGGCACAGCAGACGGCACCTACAACTTGTACGCGTTACGGATCATTAGGTCGAAGTAGGCGTCGGTGTCAATAGAGGCGCTCACACCTGAGTAGTAGTCGATAAACTCGTCCTTAGTGACCTGTGGGCACACAGCGGGGAAATTGTGAGAGGGCGAGGCAATGTTTATTGTTAACAGCATGCATGACCGTCGGTAACTCAACTAAAGTGCCATCAAAATTCAGTTTACGTGTGCCTGAACTGTGACCGCTAGCAATAAGCTTTGCTGATAAGATACGTTACAGTTATCCGTCGTGTAGTTTGTGTCATATAAAGGCGGTGTTTGTTTTCACAAACAAGCCGACGGGACGAAAAAAAAACTCCACCGCCGCGATCATACCCGCTAATGAGGGTCCGTTTAGGCCGTGACAGGGCCGCTAATGGCCGGTGCTCGGTCTGGCACCTGCCCGCTGTCCTGCCGGCTTCATGCAGTCGATAATCAATGCCCTAGTTACCGTCCAGCCCTCGGGGGAGGGGGGGGGGGTGCCCTGCCAGGAGTCGACCCATACCCTGAATACCCGCATCCGCCGTGACAAAATCACAATGCAATCAACGATGGAGTATTGTCGGCACGGTAAAGCTGCTGTGAATGTTATGACTTATGTGTTCCGGCATTCTGTCCCGTTCCTTTCGGAAATGTTTGTTTAGGTTTACAGTGAGACTGAGAAATGAGCTGCGGCACGCACATGCGTTCTCACGGCACGTGTTCGTAAGGCACGTGTCCATGGGGCCATAAGCGTAGGAACCATGGGTGCAAGGGTGCAGCTGCACCCACAATATTTCTCCAGTGGGTGCAGACAATGTATTCTGCACCCACAATAATCTGAACCAAAAACCCCTTTTCTCATCAAGACTACTTTCCATGCAGCACGGCAAATTCAGGATATGTTGCCCACTATCCATCTTTCGAAGCATTTGCTTTTGTGATGGTCTTCAAAACTTACATTTGTGCTGAAGAAAAAAAGGAAATGGAGCATGTGATTGAGCACATACCGAGCCGATGACCCACTGTCAACATTTTTAGCCCGATATCTTCGAAAATGGCTAAGTTGGCCGCTTTTACATTTTGCGGTAGTCAATATTGACAATACCTATTACCTAACCCTCGCATGTGTGCGGTGTTTTCCAGCTTCTAATGTGTAAGGGGGGGGAGGGGCTGATCGAGCTAGAGCTTCGCGAAAAAAAACGAGGGTGTTGCCCGTGACGAGAGGAAGCCGATGATACCCAATTTTAAGGTCATAGGTCATTGGTTGACCTTGCAGGTCAGGTCAATGTTCAAAAAGTCGGGAAAATCGGACCTGCTTAAACTGCGTAAAGTGAAGCTGTTATCGGGTTTTTCGGGGTGTTGGTCACGAGTATCATGTTAGTTTTGATCACAGATGATTTCTTCATGCATTTAGGCCAGATCGGGTCAGGTCAGGTCAGGTCAACCATTAGGCGTCCTACCGGCTATCCATAGTAGGTGTCAACTACCACTGACGGCGTCGTAGCATATTACGAAGGCACTAAAACTACTTCGTAAACGTTCAAATGGGTGCTAAATTCGAAATCAGCCCGAAAAACTACCCTAGAAACATGTAATACTCGAAAAAGTGAACCGAGGTCATCAAAGGTCAATGACCTGACCTGACCTTCAGGTTACCTTCACACCCACCGTGCTGCATGGGACGAACATCATTTCACATGTTTGGGCGTCTACTATCACAAAAAGACTGGAAACACGCGGATAATGTGAGTTGACATACGCCAAATCGCGATTCCGGCCGAACATGGTCTCGAGAATTAGGTCACAGGTCAAAGGTCTTTTGGGGCAGGTTCATGAAATTTTCAGAGTAGGTGTAAAACTGATCAACTCGAGGGTACTCAAAGTTTCGTCGCGATCGGCCGCTTTTTGCGCGAGTTATTGGCGAAAAACCATGGGGGGGCTCATCCGAACCCCCTACACATGCGAGGGAATTAATGCTTCCAAATGCACTTATCGGTCGGTACCTTTTCGACATGGTATATTATACACCCCCCTCAAAGCTTGTAACGAGCCTTCGCTCGGGTGTCGCTCCCTACCCCCCCCCCCCCCGCTTCACCGGCCATGGCTGGATTTCTGCACCCATGCACCCACAATGTTCCAGCCGTTCCTACGCCCATGCATGGGGCGTGTGTGAGTGGATCACACGTGCTCGCGGAGCGTGTTCATGACCGGTGTGTGTGTGTGTGTCAGAGCTCGCTAGAAGAGTGCCAACTGCCGACTTAGTGAGCGTTCTTTGATGAAAGGTGTGTTTCAAACTAATTTGATAATTCAGCGTTAGCTTTAACGATTAAACGGGGCTTTACCCACATAGTATGTTACGCGAGTGGCAGAAAGAGTTGCAACTTGAATGCGTTTGGTTTGAACCGTCTGCGCTCAAATTAAATCGAACAATGTGTTACCGCGCTCTTTGTGATGGTCTGTCTAGATAGCCTAGAACAAACACCTGTCTGATTTAATCGGCCGCCATTCAGCAAGGTCGCTGGACGAAAAACAACGTCATTGTTCGGATTCGGCTCGCAAACTGTGCTGTTTGCGTATTTGAAGCAAGGGGCGTGGTCTCGTTACTAACGGCCTTGCAAATTTGTCGCTATATCAGGATCGGTCAGAAACCATCGAAGGGGGTCCAAATAGGCCCTAATTTCCCACTGCACAGTACTGACATTCATTAGTTGAGCGTGAAACACCCGTTAACTGTTCGTGCCGGTACGATTTGGTTATCCATTTCACTCCCGGGTCGTGTCCCCAGTTATCTTATCCGTCCCCAGCTCATCAATAGTCACCATTTCTGCTTGGGTCCGCGCCTGGTCAGCGACCCGAAACTATATCCCCAGTGGGACAGCCCGTCCATTCACCACTCTAGGGTCACCGCCAGGTCAGTGACCGGGTCATGCCTCCTGTGGGACGGCCCAGCTATTGCCATTCCCCAGCCGCCACCGCAGACGGGTGACCCGCTTTCGCCGGTGGCGCGGCGGGCTTTTTACCGAGCCGAGAAGGGCGGAGCGCCGCCCGCCGCATGCACAAAACACCGCGCCGGCGAACCACTCGGCGGTCGCGGTGGCATGCGGTGCCCAAAGTAGGGAGTGGTGGGCGAGGTGGCGGGTGCAAGGTGGGGACGACACTTCTTTTTATCGTGCAGTCGTTGAGCCTGAGGGGAGTTGCGTTTAGAGACTATGTTCTGGTGCGATGGGACATCGCAGTCACTGCATTCTAGTCATTTTGGTGAGGTTCTTTGAGAGAGATTTTCCAGGATGTAAAAATCGAACAGCCACGGGAAATGTCCAGTTCAGAGTTGGTATGAGACGGTTGACGCATGCTTATGTGATACGAATGTGTCCGACTAGTTGACTGGCTAACCATACCGTCCCTGATAGTATTGTTGACCCCGACCCGACACGCCTGCCGTCGACCAGCGCTCGGACTGTGTGCCCACCTTCCGCTGCCCCTCTGCTGCCCGCCGTGCGTCTTACCTTGCCGTCTTTGGTGCCGTTCTTCTCGAAGTTGTTGAGGTACTGCGTGAGGATCTGGTCCTTGGTCAGCTCACCGCTGAGGAACTTGGGGTGCTTGTCGACGTTGTACGTCTTGCGGATGTCTTCCAGACTGAGCACGCCGTCGCCGCTGGTGTCCATCTTGTTGAACGCCTCCATCAGCACCTTTTTCCGCGCGGCCGACATCGGGGGCTGCAGAGCGACGCAGGAGGGGACGGTGTGATCAGTCTGCCGCGAGATTATGATGTGCAGTACTAATGGAAATGCATTAGAAAGTTAGGGTCTACAATCTACATATTATGGGCTCTCGATCCAATCGTAAATTACAGGTTTTGCAACGCTTAGCTCAAATAGCCAGTAAGATGTAGTTATTACGTGAACTTTGTGTGCTTTAATTAACGTTTATTTTTTATATCAAGCGAGCTTCACCGAGAAAAGCATTGCCGGTGGAAGCTTGGTTTTTATTGCACTTACTCGGATGTTCTCCAGGAACTCATCGAAGTTGATGCTGCCAGAGTTGTCCTTGTCGAAGGCCTTGAAGAGCTGCGCGAGCTCGTCGGCGCTGAGGTTGAGGCCCGAGTCGCGCATCCCCTCACTGAACTCCTCCATGTTGAGGGATCTGTTCTTGTCGTCATCCATCCGACGGAAGATCCTGTGTGAATGAATGCACGGATATCAGCGTAGGAGTACATTGCATGCGCTGTCCGTCAAATTAGTTAAAGCGTTCGAGGTTCTTTGTCGACGGATAAGGGAATCGTCCATTTAGGTAGTCATTTTAGGGGAATTCCTTGCAATGAGTCAAAGCCTGTTTGACCGGTGGGTATTTCTGACGGTCCGACGGTTTAGTTCGGTTACATATCACGAGCTTTGCCTCAGGACTGACGTGTCACGAAGCGGCGCGTCACGAGCGGCGCCAGCCGTGACGCCGGTCGTGACACGCGTCACGGCGTCACACGGGCTGCCACGGCCCACCCGTTTCACGACTCACTGCACTTCACAACGTCGTGGAATATTTTTACAAGATTCATATTGCCCTGGTCGTTTTGTCATCAAGTATGGGTGCTTTATAGATTTGCAGGTGTTCTGTGGTTCATGTAGGTATGTGTGAACCCCGCCGCCAGCCCACCCATCCATACGTTCAGCTCCATTGACTGAAGTCTGTCTGACGTGTATCTGATGTGACGTCAGAGTGTGACGTCACCGATTGATTTACCGCTCGCGGTGACCACTGTCCTTGGTGACCACACTCGAATGGCTGGTCAGTGGTGACATCACCACCAGAGCGCTTGCCGGACATGTTCAGGGTGAAAATGCGCCGTCGATTTGTCACCTTGTCCTTAGAGGTATGACGTTTTCCTTTATATAAGTCACCACTTAGACTGGTGTGCTGTGTTTCCGCCAAAAGTAAGCATAACTATGAATTTAAACTAGTATTCGTGTAACCAAAGATATAAGACGCGTAAACATAGCTTTTACGCGATGTTGAGCATTAGTAGCATCTAGTATATCTGACCTGCCGAAGCCCATGATGCCGGTGGATCCTCTGGAGAGCAGCTGGAGGCGCAGCTTCTCCATGGGGTCGGTGGCCGTCTCCAGGGCCCGCTTGGACTTGTCCATCATCTCCTGTTCGTTCCTCGTCTGCGCCGTGGCGGGCCGGTTCATTCTGCGGGACATGGGTGCGACTTCGGTCAGTGACGGGCGACACAATAGGTATGAGGTCAAGGTCAGGTCACCAGGCATCTACTACCAAAGGGTGGTAGAAGGTAACAGTGCTCAGAACATCGACATGCAATCAGAGAGTCATAGGGATACGATGGGTGTTCAAATGAGGAGGGAGTGGGCAGTGGCTTGATGTGATGGGCGATCGTTGCAAGGGCAAGTTTGCGGCGCAGTAAGCTGGGTGAGTCACCGATGGGACGGGAGGGTCACGGTCAGTCTGCACGTCTGGAGGTGAACCGGTGGTGCAGTGCACGGAGTGACTCATCACGGAACGTCGCAGATCGCGCTGGTGCCGTCCGCCCACTATATAGCCGCCGCGCTGTGTCAGGCATATGTATACATATACATATATGTATTGCTCCCAGGACTTGGAAAAATCGCGGCGCTAATGAATCACTAATGTGCTTTTTTATGAACACAATCGGCCGTCTGAAAATGTTCATGACGAATATTGACTCGGTTGTCACAGTCCCTCCTCACAGCTCATTGAGGTCACACCTCGCAATGTCGAGTCAGTTGGCAACCGTTTACCGCCCGTCCGCCTTCGAATTGCCTAATTGTTCGCTAAAGGCAATGGGTGGAGACTTCCACTGGCGTCCAACTGGCGTTTAACTGAGCAGACGTCCAAGTTGGTGTCTAGCTTGGCGTGGACGAAGACTTCCAAGCTAGACGCGTCTAAAGTTAGCAGTCGCCAGCTAGACGCAGCCGCCGTCCAGCTAGACGCGTCTAAGACTTAGACGCGTCTAACTAGACGCGAAATGGAAGTCTCCACCCAATATGAATGACTACCCGATATTTGCAAGTGGAAGCGTAAAGCACCTTACTATTGAAAGATTAATTTCGTTGATTCTCTGACAAAAAAAAGAAGAATATTCAAATTTCAATTCAATTCGATTCGGAAACCCAGAACATGCGTTTTAAATGTTCCTTTTGCTGGTTTTAGGCTCATTCATTTACTTATTTAGACACCCATTCTTGCAGTTCTGGCTAGGGAAAGACATTGATGAGTGAGTTTCCCGCAAAACCACGCATGTGCAGCTGCATCTACAGGAAATTAGAAATAGGTACGCGAGGAAATATAGCGTCACGTTGCATCAGTCCAACAGTTAAACCGTGTGCCGTGTCAATCGATTATTTATGGCGCGGGGACAGGGCACCGTTTACCCCTGGCCGTTTTACCGCCCCTGATGGCAGGAAATTGTGTCATTACCTGCGGAACTATCTACGTCACGAACTCTGCCAGTGGCGCGACCCCGACGACTGGTTTCATTTATCTTTTGCCACTAAACTCGGGATACGTTCAACGAGCATTTACCCCCCCCCCCCCCCCCCCCAACACCGAACTTATTACTTATCTTCAATTCACAACCCACAAAAGCTCAAAGGTCGAAATTCATTTGTTACATCCATTATCATCTCTTTTTCATCTGTCTCATGCTGTCTGAGGTCTTGTCTTATGCTGCCTTGTCATCTGTCTTATGCTGTCTGTCTTATACTGTGTGATGTGTGATGTCTGTATGCTGTCTGATTATCTATTTAATCAGATTATCTGATTTCACATTTGTTATGGAAATTGGAACATTCTTTGCTATATATTTTTGAAAAATCCCACTTATCGTAAATACGGTTTCCTTCCCTGGGGCATATTGCGTGACATGACACTCCCTGGAGCGTATTTCCGTGCCGCATCCAATCTGCGCGATGGGCCTATCTGACGGCACCGGTAGCATGCTGTCACGTCCCGTCACCGCCTGTTCTGCCGTCACGTCACGTTTGCTACGTACCATCGTGATCGACGCGTCACGTGGGCCGTTATGTGACGTGACGCACAGTCGTGAGGCTATGTGCCACTTATGACTTCGGATCCCTTCTGAGGTGTTGCTTCCTATCACTTTATAGTCTCAAACTCATTCAAAGTAATAAATACCAGTATAGCGCCTTTTGGGGCGACTAACGGAGCGAGCGAGGGGGTGAGTCTTGCACGTGCGAACTTTCGAGGGGGTACCTCCAACTGACTTGTGCAGTGTGCACGGCACCCTACTGACCGGTTTCTAGCGATGTGCCAAATTTGAGCACAATCGGCCCAGCCGTTCTCGAGATCTGGGAGCGGCACCCTGCACGTGCGCACGTGCAAAATGGGTCCCAACTGACTTGTGCACGGCACCCTTCTAACCGGTCCCTAACTGTGTACCAAATTTGAGCGCAATCGGTCGAGCCGTTCTCGAGATCTGGAAACGACCCCTGCACGTGCGCACGTGCAGCAGCACCCCGACTCTGGCACATGGATATGCAGTGCCTAGTGGGTGCCTACCTACATGCCAACTTTCAGCACAATCGGCCAAGTAGTTACCGAGATATTGCAACAATTACAAAACGGACACCTCTTCGTTTTGCACGTGGCACGTGCATAAGGGGTCACCCACATGCATCGGGAATAGTCCAATACTTGGTAGAAGGAATGAAGCTACCCTACAAAAATTACCGCGTGTAAATCGGTCAAGTGCTTGCTGAGATATAAGCCTCGCAAAAGCGTCCGCACGGCCGGCCGGCCGGCCGGCCGCTCATACTCAGAAATTTCCGTTATTCTAAGGAAAGACTACGCTCGCTTCGCTCGCTCCGTAATAACTCACTTTCTGTCTGGCCGTCTACGAATGATAGCGGCCACTTATGTGACATAAGGATTGCTCGGATGTCATAGCCCAACTTTCTACGTTATCATTGCGAACTTTCATATGTAGCCATCAACTAAATTGCGGTGACTGCCACCATAGCGTGTTTATTCAATCGTCCTAATTCACGTCCAGATAATGGCGGTCCAAATGACTTGTTGATGTGAAGTTCGTGCGGTTTTTACTTACGATAGACAATAACCGTGTTCATAAGCGTAGGAACCATGGGTGCAAGGGTGCAGCTGCACCCACAATATTTCTCCAGTGGGTGCAGACAATGTATTCTGCACCCACAATAATCTGAACCAAAAACCCCTTTTCCCATCAACACTACTTCCCATGCAGCACGGCAAATTCAGGATATGTTGCCCACTATCCATCTTTCGAAGCATTTGCTATTGTGACTGTCTTCAAAACTTACATATGTGCTGAAGAAAAAAAAGGACATGGAGCATGTGATTGAACACATACCGAACCGATGACCCACTGTCAAAATTTTTAGCCCGATATCTTCGAAAATGGCTAAGTTGGCCGCTTTTACTTTTTGCGGTAGTCAATATTGACAATATTAACCCTCGCATGTGTGCGGCGTTTTCCAGCTTCAACTGTGTAGGGGGAAGGGGGGGGGGGGTCGGTTGGACCCCCCTGCCGTTCGGCCCCTGATCGAGCTAGAGCTTCGCGGAAAAAACGAGGGTGTTGCCCGTGACGAGAGGAAGCCGATGATACCTAATTTTAAGGTCCTAGGTTATTGGTTGACCTTCCAGGTCAGGTCAATGTTGCAAAAGTCGGGAAAATCGAGACCTGCTAGAACTGCGTAAAGTGAAGCTGTTATCGGGTTTTTCGGGGTGCTGATCACGAATATCATGTTAGTTTTGATCACAGATGATTTCTTCATGCATTTAGGCTAGATCGGGTCAGGTCAGGTCAGGTCAGGTCAACCATTAGGCGTCCTAGCGGCTATCCATAGTAGGTGTCAACTACCACTGACGGCGTCGTAGCATGTTACGAAGGCACTAAAACTACTTCGTAAACGTTCAAATGGATGCTAAATTCGAAATCAGCCCGAAAAACTACCCTAGAAACATGTAAAACTCGAAACAGTGAACCGAGGTCATCAAAGGTCAATGACCTGACCTGACCTTCAGGTGACCTTCACACCCACCGTGGTGCATGGGACGAACATCATTTCACATGTTTGGACGTCTACAATCACAATAAGACTGGAAACGCGCGGATAGGATGTGAGCTGACATACGCCAAATCGCGATTCCGGCCGAACATGGTCTCGAGAATCAGGTCAAAGGTTAAAGGTCTTTTGGGTCAGGTTCATGAAATTTTCAGACTAGGTGTAAAACTGATCAACTCGAGGGTACTTAAAGTTTCGTCGCGATCGGCCGCTTTTGGCGCGAATTATTTGCGAAAAACCATGGGGGGCCCGGGGGTCCATCCGACCCCTCTACACATGCGAGGGTTTATGCTTCCAAATCCACTTATCGGTCGGTGTCTTTTCGACATGGTACAGGTACACCCTCAAAGCTCGTAACGAGCCTTCGCTCGGGTGTCGTTCCCTACCCCCCCCCCCCCCCCCGCTTCACCGGCCATGGCTGGATTTCTGCACCCATGCACCCACAATGTTCCAGCCGTTCCTACGCCCATGACCGTGTTAAGCTGCAAACTATCTGTAGTTGAGTATTGAGTCATCTGGGAAGGTATGCAAAAACATCCTGGCGAATGTTCGAAGAACTATCGCCGGCATTTCTGTATTATGTGTTTAATTCACAAATATCGGCACTAAGCTATTGGTTTATATCCAACAGGCGACAGAACGAAACCCCGACAATAATTTTCGTGCCGCACGCATTATATGGTGCGCACCCGGCCATGATTTTTCCTGTGATATTGACTGACGATCAATCAGCTGGATGATTATGTAGACGCAGCAATCGGCATTTATTTCGTGCGGACACCCATACCCGTTAGTCGCCGTTTCCCGACCATTAACGTATGCATGACACGACTCCTACCCATACGCCTGCTACCGTTGCAGAATCATTGTGTGATTTATTAGATACGATTTGTAGATGTGCTATAGAAAGGCCATACCTTTCACTTGAATTAAGTATACAACAAAGTTTATTTATTTGGCAGCTTCGACATCTTGCTAGTATCAGCTGACGAGTGTTTCGGGTCGGTACGCCTAGTATTACCTCACGTAAAAACACACCCATTACGGGTCACAACGCTTGTCAACGACTGTCGACTCAATTGATCATAAACGTCATCGATTTACCATTCTTCCGTCACAAACGTAATAACTAGGAAGCGCCTAACATGTTTTGTTGAGCCGTCCGTCAAGACATTTATGATGTTATTACCCTCGCATTTTATCATTATAAAGTCGTGGATTTCGGTTCAAATGGTATTGTCTTTGCATATGCTATACTTACCTACATCAATTGCCGTAAGCAGCAAAAGTGATACTAAAACTAGAACCATTAGGTACCTATGTCCCGTTTTACATGCATCCTAGATACGTTTACATACAGATTCACAAACGTAATAAAAAACTAAATACCTTTCACCAGCGGTTTTATATAATTACATCAATTCAGTTTGATTGAAATAAACCGTCAAAAGGATGGTGCGATGTTCATCTATATACGATCGTGAAATGAATCACAAAGCAACAACCACGAAATCGGCTAAAAATGCTGAAAACTGACGTGTCTAGTGTCCTTGCAACTTGCGCAGCACCTGCACCTCTACGCGTAAACATGAAGTAAGATTGCACGACTTGCACAATAGTGCTTAGGTATAAAACGTCTTGCGGGAAACCAAACATCCTTCGCAGTGAAGTCTCGCCGTGTGAATTTGGGTAAAATCAAAACTTTACGTTTAATAGACTGCTACTCACCTAATAGGTAAACTTTAGGTTTAATAGGTGAGAGCCTGAAGGCAAGTTAGGTAATCATTGTTCATGATGAATCCGGCTGATTTGGCTGGTTTGAAAACTTTCCCGCAAAAAAATGTGTAATGATTATAAAAAATCGTATCCTCCGTTTTCGCTAAAACATGAACACAAGTGTAACTGTCAGAAGACGTTACCGCCTGAACCTGCACACACGGCATCCATCGGCGGTCAGGGGGGGGGGAATGAGCCGCCTGCCAACTCACATCTCACCTGTGAATTGTGTCGGTTCAGTCGTGAGCGTCCGTTCAGCGTTCTTCAGCGGCTGTCGTCGGCGATACTGCGCGCTCGGCCCTCACCAGTAGACTGGAAAACCGCCGCCGCCGCCCCGCTCACCCGATGTGGCGGTGGGCGGGGGCGGCAGCGTGCAGAGAGAGCGACCACCGCCGCCGCCCGGAGTGACGTCACAATCAGGGTTGCCATGGCAGCCGTCGTCAACAGCCAGATAAGTCGACAGCCGATCCTGGGGGAGACTACCGGTCGATGGGCGGTGCATGCAGTGCACGCCGTGGTGCACGGCGCTATGCACGCCGCGTGCTCTAACTGGGACGATCGACCGCGGCGGCTGCGGCCCGCTGATACCTCTATGTATACCACAGCCACCTGCCCCGGCGGTGGACGAACGGTGATGACAGGCCGTGTCAGCAGAGGTCACGGCACGTGTAACGCACCTACTTCAGCCGCCTGGAGGTGGCAGTGGCCTGAGGTGACAATGTGTCGCCTTTGCCCTGTCACCGATAGATGGAGATTGGAGATGGATCACATCCGCAGTTATTACTGGTTCCAGCAATATCGTGACAGTGACGGCTGGCACCAAACACGTGTGCTTCTTGTGGACATTTGTGAGGGATTATGCATACCTACCTTCGCCGCTGCGTTTGTCTAGCGTGCTCGTGGCCCATTTCTCCGACTTTTCATTATTTAATGCCTCTGTTTGAGTTTGCCACTAATTTACTAATTAATTTAACTCTCCTGCGAAAGCCGCTGTATTGATTCTGCCTTGCACTGCGCAGAACTTGTTCTGCACGATGCTGTCGATCAAATACCATCTTGCCGTCCAGTCGTCTATCTGCACAGCATGGCAATGACCGGCCCGTCGGGTCCCCGCCGGCTAGTAGACCGTGGTCGGCAGGTAGCGGCACGTCACAGTAGAGATGGTCGTGTCTGCGGTCCACAGTGGTCCGGCGGTCCAGAGACCACGGTCCGGTGACTGAGATGCATGGGTCGTGGACGGCGGCAATAGCGGTCAGTAGCCGGTATGCTGCAGTTTGCATGGGTCAGGTATTTCCGGCCGCGTTGTTTGACAATGCGTGCAATAGTGAGCACGAATATGTTTATTTGCCGTTATTGGAGCCAAAAATGTGTACACCCACAGCGGTAGGCTTGTGGTTATTGTCATTGTTCCGTCTTACGGCCCCAGTGGCTGATTGACAATCGCGCTGTCTCTCGTGACGTTCACCGAGTCACTCCGAGCTATGTGTCAGAGGAGATCGCTCTGGTGCCGTCCTAGCCGTCTGATGCCGTCCGGTGCCGCTCCCACTGGGCTGACGAATTTGGTACCGTGACCGGCCTCCGTCCGCCCACGATCCATGTCGTCACCGTTCGGCCGGAACAGAGCCGCGGTTGTGCCGGGCCCCGGGTGATGCCGTGATGGTGTGTCGTCATACCGCTGTTTGGTGATTCAGACGGCACAATGGATTGCTGCGTGGTGGTCTGAGCTAGCCCGCAGTGACTACTTGTGTGGTAGGCACCGATAAAACAGCGATGTATGTTTACTGTTTACTGTTTAGGTATCAGGCAACTAAGAAAGCTATGACGCTTGACCTGCCCACGCTGTGAACTAATTTATCTGCAAGTGAGATTGTTGCGGACGTCAAAAATAACTTACGAGAATACGAAACACTGAACACTGAATGCGAAACTCGTATTCAGTGATCATTACGCTTTTCGCAATTTGCGCCTTGATAAGGCTCGATCTTACGTCGCACTTCGCACGTTGACGTACCCATGTTTCAACTTCTGTCCCTAGATGTCGCTAGTAGTGCGCGCCTGAAGGTATGCTGTGCCGCACAGCACGGAGCTTGATAGGCCCGCCGCGACAGAACAAAGTATGTAATACGGCTGAATATACGTCGCTGTTTGAGTCTAGTGGACAAAAGATAAGGCATTCAGCTGCTTATGAATGTAAGAATAGCTACATGACATTTGCCACGCACGTCTGCCTGTTGTTGGGCACGTTTTACCTACCACCTTTCACCTTTCGCGGGTAAAAGGTGAAGTGACGATGGTTCAGTAACCCACCGTGCGGTCCTGGAAAGCTTCGATTCGTTCCGAGCAGCGCGCTACCGTCGTTCAATAGATGCTACCACAATGACGTGTTAATGTCCCAAAGACTTATGCAACCGTTCTTGGAAGGGACCGACCCAGCGCCTGTGACGTAGCACCCGCTGAATTACGGTATGTGAATACGGTGACGTTATGAAAGCGGGCTCTATAATATATGACGTATGTAAAGGTGTATTGTACGACTTGAACGGATATCTGAATTTGCTGACTCTGCATGATTAAGGTAAGCCTATATAGACACTAGTTATGTGGTTTGCATCAGGTCTCCGTCTCAGAATTGTTGTCAATGTTAAGTAAGACATTTTTTACAATACGGTGTGTGAATCGTGATCAATATATTCGTTTGCCTTCTGAAGGAAAGTCAAAACTTAGGAAAATAGCTGCACGCTGCGCTGCTGGCTATCGTTATAGGAATGTTTTCACTTCTCATATTTGAAGCGCAGGAACGACCGCACGATTCTTTATTTATACGCATCATTTTACGATGTCTAAAATAATCAAAATCCGTATAAAAGCATGTATCGCTATCGCTCGAATAGATAAATAGATACATCGTACAATCATTTTATTTTTATTTTTTGTAAAAGCGTGAACACTGGAATGGGCACTGGCCGGTGGCGCACATGACCACTTTTGTCACTGCATGAAATTTTCCCGTCGGAGGTCCCGTGCCCCAAACGGAAGTTGTCCGCCAGGTGGTCGGTTCCCAGCCCCTCCTGTCCAGTGTTCTGTGTCCGTTGTATAGAGCATCTCTGCGGGGGCGGAGCGGCGCTCTATTTAGACTAGGGGCGTTCGCCGTAAGGGAAGCGCGTGAAAGGGCCTCGCGAAACAACTGAGGATCGATGAAACGAGTTGCGGGAGAGATGATAGCTTTAGATCTGAGCTTGTATGATCCCTGTGAAAACTGAAAACCTATGGTATATACAAGTACACAACACCGATAAGTAGGCCTTTAAATTGTCACTTGTAAAGAAGTGACATGGTATGGCGTATGCTATTTCATTTGTATTTGCTGCAATGCCTGTTTTGGTAGGAAGGAAGATATGCAAGATTTTGTCCTTATAGGTCATGGCACTGCATTGGAGAGATGCATTTTCGATGTCACTCCACTCTGAAAGGCACGATAGATGGGAAAACACCATCGATTATTGACATGCTAGCTCTCACAGAACCGTCCTTTTGTCTATTGCCCGAATGTCTACAACAAGAAACAAAGAAAGGAAGTGGGGCGGCCCGGCCGGGTCGCAGCATGACCTAGATTCCTTCCCGAGTCGCATGTTCTTTGCAGACAAATCGAGCTCCAATATGCACCGATATAAGCGAGCACTCCCCGTGTACCGCAGGGCATGTTCGCTGGATGCGACACTGCCTCAACGTTGGGGGTGTTGGGAACAGTGCGGTCCAGTGCGATTCTTGGTCATTGGCACTGTACAACTACTGAATATTTCATACATTACATGCAATGTGCTTAAATTGAAGGACGCAAGCATTGTCATCGGTGTTTGTGAGTGGTTAGAACTTATAACTTGAGAGCGCTTGCCGCTTACCGAAGGGTATCAAAGCTGCCATGCCCCCGATTCCAGTCTAGCTAGCTGTTATTAGGCTTCCACCTTTCTGCGCTTCCTAGTCTGTTCATGTCTGAGACATCTGCAGGACTTCTGTCGCGAATCGTTAGGTCACCATGGTAACAGCGCCAATCCAGCCGTCAACGCTGGACGCCTGGATAGCCTCGAACGTCCCCGAGGCTGGGAATACGGATTTGGGATTTATTTCAGGTCACACCATGCACGGTCCGCTGGCGAAATTATCTGAAGCAAACCTAGGGGTATAGAGCCGGAGTCGTTAAAAAGTTCCCGGAGCAAGCGTCACCGAAACATATTTGGAAACATTTCTTGGAGCTCAAGATTGAACACTCAACCGGAGCCGGAGGCTCGGAGCTATCTAATGATTTTAACCTCCGCTTTCCTGCTCGGGAAAGAAACTGTTGTTGACGTACTAAGTAGGTACTTGTTGGCGACAGACGCACCTGCAACAACGCAAATTCACCCTCAAGTCAGGCCCTACCCACCCTTGGGACTATATAGGGCCTTGCTCGGAGTTCCCAGCTCTACGATGAACACTGTGAAGCTGCGTAGGTCTGCCGGGTGCCGCCGGCTATGGCACATACCACGTATCGCGTGTCGGCTGTCCAATGTCGCCGTAATCGCTCGATGCCGTGCCTATCGGCCCGCGCCGCGCCGGTGATCGGTCGATCCATAGGAAGGCAGGGGAGGGAAGGGGCTGGAAGGGGAGGGTGCACACTGGATGGGAAGAGACCTAGCTTGATGAGAGTCGTCTGAGACCACTTTGATCCAAGATCCTTCGCCTATCTAGCTCACTTGAAACCGGAGTGATCTTCTCAGTGATCATTCCGTTTGTTGTAAAGTATTTTTGGCGTTCCCGTCGTTCTTTTACTGTGGATGCCTGAACTATCCTCATTTTACTTCTCGCGGGCTACAACAACCTACCCCCACCTCTGGAAGTTCAGTGCTTAAGCATTAGCCCCTCCAGTTCGAAACCAGTAAAGTGAGGCAATTCCCAAAACGACTCCGTTAGTCGCTCACAGTCAAATTTACAGTGTCAGCAACGGTCGGGGACTTTGCGCGGTCGGTTGGTTTGCCGGCACCTCATTTACCACTCAGTATCAGGGTCACTCAAATTACTGCCCAAACATCGCAGTTTGCGCCACTCCGCCCCCGAGCCGTCCCTACCGTCAGTGTTTCGCTGCTGGGCGCTCGATCACCCCCTGGAGCTACTACCGAGTACCGAGTGCGGCCTCTACCCAGTGCAGCATTTAACCCTCTACTGCCGTCAGCGAACATGCTAATACGCCGACGGTTATTCCCAGGCGAGTGCGCAATTACACAAACACACGTGGTCAAATAGGCGAGTACGCCACACGCTCAGTTTTACAGTCTGTGGAAGTGTGTCAGAATGAAATAATTATTTATTCAGAATGAATAAATAATAAATGAAATAATGAAATAATGAAATATTTATAGTCACCGTGGAAATAATTAACTCGGTTCTGCGTTGTTTGAAACGGTGCGCAGTATCGTATTAGCACGGCCTATCCCAGTGAGCGCAGTGCAGCGTCACCTGACACAATGCGACTTAAGACGGTGGCCCCCATGGCCTCTACGCCACGTGGATGGGTCACACCGGCGACGGTATGAGTTGTGAGATACAAAATAGAAGCGGCAGTATCAGATATCAATATATTGGCCCATTTGTTCGTCTTAAACACCCTGGAATAGCTGTGTTGAGCGAACTAAATTGGTACTTTGATAAATTACATCCCAGCAAAAACTAGGAAACGAATTCAACAAGCGTGACTTTAACCGTGCACCAACAAAAATAAAGCAATATAATTCGTGACATCCCCAGTACATCACACATCCACAAAACACAACAACCAATTATCACCCCTCCCCCCGTCCCAGCTGCAGTTCGCTACATTCGTCGTTTGATGAGTTTCTCTAACCGGTGGATTCGGCCGGCCTCGTGCTCGGGGCTGCCGGTGGTGGCGGTGGCGGCTGCCGCTCCGCCCGGACGGCTGCTGCGGAACACATCCAGCAGCTGGCTCTGCTCCGCCCGGCGCACACCCTGTCGGAGGGTCAGGTCAGGTCAGGGGTCTGTGAAAGGGTCACGGGTGATAGGTCAGTGATCAGGGGACAACGAGCGGGTTATGGATCCAGAAGCCTGTCGGCGGGTCGAGGACTGGGACAGGCCGCAGCAGATAAGATGTGAGAGGTCATCGGTTTTAAAAGAACTTGGGAGAATCCTTCTGACAAGAAGTTAGCAGTGACCGCGTCAGCGATCACAGTTTGGAGGACACTGCCGAGATGCCATCATAAGCGACACCTACCACATAGGCGTAGGGAATAAAAACTTCCCAGGGTGTTCCCAGGGAAGTTTGTTTGTTGAGACAGAGCATCATTCCACCCATTAGTTGTCCATATCCGTGCCCAGCTAACCAAGTGTGACCCTATAGCGCTCTCATGACCTATACTGTGGATGCGGACTGACCTTCATATCGAGCACCTTCTGGAACTCTGCAGCGTCGGACTCTGGCAGCAGCCGGCCGTACTGTTCCACATAGTCTGCGGGACGCTCGTGGGGCGACATCACCACCTTCAGCAGCATCTCAGCGCGCGTCATCCCCTTCACCACGATCTTGGTGTAGCTGCACGGAGAGAGGGAGGTGTCAGCGGGAGAGAGAGAGAGAGAGAGAGAGAGAGAGAGAGAGAGAGAGAGAGAGAGAGAGAGAGAGAGGGTGTCATCCCTTCACCACGATCTTGGACCTTGGTGTAGCTGCACGGAGGGAGAGAGGGAGAGCGAGTGATGTCAATGGGAGGGAGGGAGGGGGGAGGAAGTTTTTTCGATACAACAGCAGTTAACTTCGTCATTCCATTATGCAGCTCGGACATGAGTACATATGAGAAATGACAGCAGTCATGGGACAGCAATGGATCGGAAATCGCACAAACGTTTGAACAAATACAGCAAATTGCACATACAAACACAGTTGTAAAATTTGTCATTTAGACCATGCAATTAATCATTATGCGTCCACGTAATTAGTGCATGCCCACAGTGGAGCTGAGTTATTACATTTTTGTACCTTTGACTGCACTTCTTTACCGACTTTACGGCGATTCTCAGGCGGTTTTATTGGCAGTGCAATACAATATCGTCAAAGCGCTCATAAACGACAATCAGCCATAGCAATATAATCTGTCAAGACCAACAACGCCATTGAACATCAGTACAATTAAAATCACTTTTTGTGATTACTTGGTGAGGGGATTCCATTCCAAGAAAGACCATCATACATAAGGCTACCCACCGACTTCTTACGTAACTGACCGTTGGCCAACGCGGAATACAATAGCTTCCTCATTCCGACCGAGGCCACTATTTGCACCCCACTACAACTCGGCACTTATCATCAATCATTTAACGTGGCCGCCACGCCATGCCAATGTACCAGCCTCAGAACAAAGTGTCAACTTGAAACCATTACACATGCACGTTTTAGGTGTAGGTTTAGTATGTAATATGTATAATCCCGGCCTTAGGCCGCAGGGCCATTCCAAAGAGTTGTGTTATCTTCCTATCAGTCACCTTACGTGAAGCTATGCTGCGTTGATCACGTCCATTATATACCTAACTTTACTCGCCTTTATGTAACGGTACGCTTCCACCCTATCATTACTTTACCTAGCATCACGTCACTTTTAGCGTCACGTCAGTCGTCACTTCCGGCGTACCGCCACGTCCGTTGACTCACCTGGCGGGCGCGTTGCGTTGCACCTGGCTGCCGAGAGAGGGCAGGTCAAGCAGCTCCGTCTTCAGTGAGTGGGTGTCCAGCAGAAGCTGTTCGGCTCCCACTGTGCTCACCGGCTTACACTTGTAAATGTGCTGGATGAACTTGGGGATAAACGAGCTGAAAGACGGAGAAGAGTTAGATAAACAGGCATGCAGATTATGTTGTTTCACATACCAGAATGCATAGCTCCATATAATTGTTCGGTGTGTTTGAGGACAAAGTGCATCACCCATTGGCGACAAACGGCAGGAAATAACAGTGGCCTCATCGACTAGCGTTAGTGGTGAGGCTCTGCGGTCGTTCAAGCTACTGCACTATTACCACCACTACCTATAGCACCATATCAGCCCAGCATCCCAAACATTAATCACTAACCACAACTCTCTGAAAAGGATGTGACGAGTCGGTTTTACGCACTCACTTGGCGAACTTGACGCAGAACTGCGTGAAGTACTTTCTGGACCCGGCCAGGTTGTCTCTGATGACGGGCACGGTGGTCTTCAGCTGTCCGGTGATGATGCTGACGTAGCCGCTCTGGTCGCCCACCGACTCCACGTTCTGCCAGCTCATCTGACGACACACGAGGGGAGGGGGAGCGGTGAGTGCTGGGGTGGGTGTAGGTCAGGGGGTAACGCGGTAATGCGATCAACTGTGTAAAGACAGTATTAGTATCTGGTATTTTGACTGCGATGAAAACATGATAGATAACCGTGACAGGCATATGACAAAAACATTTAGGCAAATAACACTACAGTGGACACTATTTCTTCAAGATGACAAGAGGTCAATTATCATGTCTTATCAACCAAATGTATGATCGATTATAGGTGACGTAGATAATGCTATATACCTATGACTTATGAGGATATATGGGGGCTCTGGTGTTAGCCCGAGTGAGGCGGGTTAGTGCGTTGTTGATCGCCCACCTTGGTCATGGTAACGAGCGCCGGGTCACAGGCCGACTCGAGGTCCTGCACCAGCACCTGCACGCAGTTGCCGATCACGCTGCAACGAACAGACGCCACGAATCAGCGAGCTCGGATCAGACTGTCTCAACCGGTGATCGCCCGCCGTCCATATCAGACTTCACATATCAAACGACGTTTTGAACAGACGTCACAAACAAGGACTGCCTATGTTGAACGGTTCAACAGGATCAGGTGATTCAATGGTAACGAAGTTTGCAAATTCACACTTAGTACGTATTCAGATGGCAGAAAGTCCGAGCAAGCTTCGCATGTTTTCATTGAACTACTGAATAAGTCACACAAAAACCATAAGTAGAGCAAGTTTCACAATCTTGGCAGCCCTGAATTGGGCTAAGACCGCACCGGACCGCCCACCAGGCCCGCACCCTCCTCCTCACGGACCTGTGGAAGACGTCCTGCTCTCCGCCTAGGTTGATACGGTCCACCAGAGTGGGCTCCACCTTCTCCTTCAGCTTCAGCTCCAGCTGCTGCGTCGTGTCCAGGCAGTACTCGGCCGTCGTCAGGATACTGCCGACGGGGGGGGGGGGGGGTTCAGCGAACAATGGCGGTTGCAGTACAAACGAACCACCCGCGTACATATTTTCTGTTCCATAGCTTCCCTATTTCTAACGCAGGCGAAATGACAGACGTTAACAACCGCCATTTTCCGTGACCAGGACGTTTAATTATGAAAAAGCCGCTGTTGCAAATCGAATTGTCACACCATAAGACGTCCGAGGTCGTCCCTTTACCTGCAGACGCAACTGACATCATGTCGCTATGGTTATTTGGTTACTTGTAGGCGCGTCCGAGGTCGTCCCTGGTGAGTTACAAAGGTTACCTGCAGACGCGGCTATCATCCCGTCGCTATGGTTACCTGCAGACGCGTCCGAGGTCGTCCCTGGTGAGTTACCAAGGTTACCTGCAGACATGGCCATCATCCCGTCGCTATGGTTACCTGCAGACGCGTCCCAGGTCGTCCCTGGTGAGCCACCATGGTTACCTGTACACAAGCCCGAGGTCGTCCGTCACCATGGTTACCTGCAGACGCGTCCGAGGTCGTCCCTGGTGAGCCGCTGTATCTCGCCCTCCTTCATCAGGTTCTGGAAGTTGTGCAGGAAGCCGGCCGTGGCCATGTCGCGCAGGTTGGAGAGGTTCGACAGGTCCTTCAGGTCGATCGGCAGAGTCTTACCGGACGAGCCGCCCGTGGCCCCGCTAACTGTCTGCCTGCGGACGGAAAAAGGTTATGCTGAGAGTAATAGTGGAGTAAAGAGAACGGGCTCGGACAAAGCGCTGTAACTCCGACACAACTTATGTTCAAATGGGAGATACAATCAGGACTTTGTAGAAACAGGAGATCCGCATTCATCGTTCATTATACCAATGTAATAAGCGAATGTGTTTAATCTTGGCATACATTTGACAATGAGACGTGTACCGGGTGTAAGAAACAAATATGAAATTATGAAATTGAATGTGTATCAACGTCAGAATAGGCATAGATTTTCTGTCAACGTAGCAGCACGTGCATTCCCTGTTCACCCTCCCTTGGGCCTCCTCCTCTCCCCTCCCTACTTACTTGGGCAGGTTGGCGAGCAGAATTTTCAGCGCATACTCGCGCAGGTGTTTCTGAAACACGGCCGTCAGAGCGAGCAGCTGTCGGCCGCGACTCAGCTGCGAGCACTGCAGCATACACTTCTTGTAGAACATGAACAGGTCGGCACAGCTGGGCAGGATCAGCGAGCTCTCGGCGGCCGCGCTCGGGAAGCCCTTGGCCTTCAGCTCCTGGCTGAAACGCTCCATCAGGTCCGATAGGTTCCTGGAAAGGGGGAGGAATAAGGTTTGTAGTGACGCTAGGATGGCAACATTATGGGTGTATCAGTACCAAGAACAAAGTGATATTGTGAACTTGATAATAGCAAAACGAAATAAATGAGAAACAACGTAAATGTTAGAGCTTTTACTGTGGCACATGACATTTCAAGTAGATCTCGTTCCATGAAATGAACTAACAATGCTTAATCACACATGAAAAGTTTAGAGCATACATGCGGTGGTAGTACCACACGCCGAGCAGATTAGATTTTATAGTGCTCAATTCACCAGCTATCTTGGCTCGGTTACCTGTCCTGGCTCTCGATGTAGATGTTGAGGTGCTGCTCGAAGCACTGGCTGATCAGACCCTGGAACGGATCGGAGGGCGGCGGCGCTGGCTCCGGCGGAGGCGGGGCGGGAACCGACTTCTCCGTCTCGGCTGCGTCCTCCTCCGTCTCAAACGGGTTCGTCGACTTGGGCTCCGGCTCCGGCTCCCCGAAAGGGTTGGTCGACTGCGGAGTGCGGGCGTGAACGGAGGTAAGATGGCTGGCAAGACAGTGACTAGGATCACTGCAGAAATTTGTTTATTGGGGCTTTAGGGCACAAATGGAAGAACTAGAACCATCAGCCAGCTCGCAGATAAATTAAATGGAAATCATCAATCCGAAAGCGTGCAAAGTCCTCAATCGTCAAAACACAAACGTCCATCAATTTCATCCTATGAGTGTTGAGTGTTTTAGATTGTTACTCCGGCTACAGACTCTGGGACAATTCCACCCTCCCCTGCCCACCACAGTCCATCAGACCAGTCCGACATGGACCCACCTCCTTCGGCGTGGCCGGCTCGGCGGCGGCAGCGGCCGTCCGGCGGTCCTGTAGCGTCACACCGGAGAACCGACGTGACAGCAGCGTCTCAAAGTTGGCCGTGCGCTGGATGGCGAACAGCAGGAGCTTGACGTCCATCTCGGAGACACGCCGGGCCATGATGGCTGAGAGTTCCGACCTACGCCGGAGAGCACACGGGGAGCGGGGTGAGGCGACGGACCACGCTGCAGTGGGAGTTGGTACCTAACACCGAAGGAAGCATAGGAGGGAGGTCACATGTACGAGATACGAGTATTTCAACTGTGTGACATGACATTCCAAGGGAATATGCCTCAACGCAGTTCGATGCATCGGTCCCTGATTATGTGAAGGGTTTACAGTACTAACTAAAATGCACGTAACTTATAGCTCAAATATGTCAGCATCAACGCCTAGGTATACTTGTCCACGCCCTATACAGTCAAGACTCCTACACAACGTACGTACACAGCCGAACAGGAGAACAAGAGACCTCTTTACCTACCCCCCCCCCCCCCACACACACACACTCCACCCCAAACACAAACAACCACACGCCCGGGCACCTGCTCTCACCGTGTAACCTGGCAGAATTCGACAGCGATCCGCTCAGAGACCTCCCATTCGGGCGGAAAGAGGCGGCCGAAGCGCTCCTCAAACTCGATCAGGTGCCGCTTCAGCCACGTGTAGCGTTTGTCGATATTGTCCAGCCAGGCGGACTCCTCGTTGGCACCAAACAGGTGTGTGTACTCGGCGAGCTGGAGCGAGACGAACCAGCGCAGCAGCTCCCGTCTGACGGAGGGAGAGAGGGGTGATGAGGGAGAGAGAGAGAGAGAGGGTGACGAGGGAGAGAGAGAGAGAGGGGGAGACTAAATCAGCAGCTCCCGTCTGAGGGCAGGGAGAGAGAGAGAGAGAGAGAGAGAGAGAGAGAGAGAGAGAGAGAGAGAGAGAGAGAGAGAGAGAGAGAGAGAGAGGGGGTGATGAGGGAGGGAGAGAGAGAGAGAGGGGGAGACTAACGCAGCAGCTGCCGTCTGAGGCGGTTATGGATGGGTGGAAATGGGTGAAGGAGGAAGACAAACATGGCAAGTCAAAAATCTACCTGACAAAATAGGGGAGGACGAATGGTTGGCCGCCAGAAATAAATCGAAACATAAGAAAACAGAGCACCTTTCCACCAGTATAACGCCTTTTGGGGCGACTAACGGAGCGAGCGAGAGGGTGGGCCTTGCACGTGCGAAATTTCGAAGGGGTACCTCCAGCTGACTTGTGCACGGCACCCTACTAACCGGTCTCTAGCGATGTGCCAAATTTGAGCACAATCGGCCCAGCCGTTCTCCAGATCTGGAAGCGGCACCCTGCACGTGCGCACGTGCAAAATGGGTCCCAACTGACTTGTTCACGGCACCCTAGTAACTGGTCCCTAATCGTGTACCAAATTTGAGCGCCATCGGTCCAGCCGTTCTCGAGATCTGGAAACGACCCCCGCACGTGCGCACGTGCAGCAGCACCCCAACTCTGGCACATGGATATGCAGTGCCTAGTGGGTGCCTACCTACATGCCAACTTTCAGCGCAATCGGCCAAGTAGTTACCGAGATATTGCAACAATTACAAAACTGACACCTCTTCGTTTTGCACGTGGCACGTGCATAAGGGGTCACCCAAATGCATCGGGAATAGTCCAATACTTGGTAGAAGGAATGAAGCTACCCTACAAAAATTACCGCGTGTAAATCGGTCAAGTGGTTGCTGAGATATAAGCCTCGCAAAAGCGTCCGCACGGCCGGCCGGCCGGCCGGCCGGCCGCTCATACTCAGAAATTTCCGTTATTCTACGTAAGACTCCGCTCGCTTCGCTCGCTCCGTAATCATGAAAAGTAACGAAAATTTATTGATTTAGCAGTAAAAACAATAAGCTATATTCCGCAGCCAGAAAAGCATACGAATGACGCCTCCAAGAAGCTCTAAACAGAACGCACTTGACTTTGGGCTCCAGAACGTTGACGACCAGGCAGGCCTCTCCCAGCTGCTGACTGGGGATGGCCTTCTTGGAGTTGGCCGCCGAGAACGCCTCCTTAAAGTCGCTGGTGATCTGCTCTGCCAAGTCGGTCCGGATCTTGTGCACCTGAAACACGCGGTGGGGGTATGGGACATTAGACGACGCAACGAGCTTATGCGTGGGGGTGTGTCACGTACTCAGTGGCTTATTAATTAATATGTTAAACAACTAACGATTTTTCAGCGCTTATAAAGTCCGATCATCTTTCAGCGGCGCAAGAGTGGTGCTGAATGCGAACATGCTTATGCAGAACAGGGCCATGAAGTGCTAGGCAGAATGAATGTTTTATACAGAGCACATAAACACTACAGACTCGGGCTGTACACCAAGCAAAATATTAATTCCCTACAGCGATAAACCTACAGTTCCCCTTCTGGGACACCTACCTGATCGGCGAGCTCCTTGATCTGTGGAATGTCCATGTACTTGTCGAAGTGTTCCAGGACCTTCATGACACCCTCCAGCAGCATGGCAATCTCGCCGTACTGGCGCCGGCAGATCAGGGACCTGGGAAAGGGGTACCAGGTACAGTGACAGGGGCGAACATCTCGGCGTGGGTAATCGGTTCGGCTCAACTGAATAAGGTAGAGCGTGCAAGATATAATTGAGAAGGTGAAATGGTTGCGTGAATTTTACGACAAAAACACATACCTTCATGCCATGCAAGAACGTGTTTGTCTGAGATCAGCAATCGTTCAAAAATTGCAGTTCGCACTCGATGTGTCACCCACAAGTTTTAATAAGTCGTCATTCAGTATGGATCACAACATCTCCTGTTCATTACCCACACAATGCAGCATATTATAGCCCGTGGCCATCCCGATTCCGTCTCCCTCTCCTCCCTGCCCTCTCCCTCCCAGTTCCCACAGCTACTAACTGGAGCGTGTCGACGCCGCCGGCCAGCATGTGCAGGTGGTTGAGCGTGGTGACGGCTGCCGTCAGGTTTCTCTTGCCCTGGTCCAGGTGCTTGATGTCGCGCGTGATCTCCTTGACCGTCTGCTCAGACTGTTCGGCGCGACCCTTGATCTCGGAGATCTTGTTGAATAGCTGCACGATCGACTTCTGCGCCTCCTCCAGAGCCCGCTTACCATCCTGGGGAGGGGGTTATGGGTCAAAGGTCACAGTACGGGTCGGAGTAACGAGTCGGGTTCCGATTCGGTGTCACCTCACAGGTTAAAGTTAAAACGATTTCAGTTTGTCTGTTTCATAAAGTGTAGTAAAAACGAGAAGTATTAATGATATTCGTTTTTTTGTGTCTAGTCATATTGTTTGAACTTCGAATCAGACGATGCTTCGCGTTCACGAGCTTCACATTGATCGGCCAACACCGAAAAAGGCACCTCGTTGTTGATGATACTTCTTGCCTAACATTTAAACTTTATCAAGCTGTCTACACTACGAATATCACCTGCCATGTATCACAACTCTTGACCACCGTCCGACGCAAGCGGACACTTTCATTGCCATCTGATGTAAGCAGACACTCTCACTACCGGCGGACACGGACACTGCCGTCGGACCCCGGACACGGCGGCGTCTCACCTGTCCGGAGTTGGTGTGTCCGCGCACCACGTTTCTGATCTCCTGGTCGATGACGCGCACTCGCTCCGTCATCGACGATATGACGTCATCGATGTTACTCAGCGACTGCTCGTTAGGGAACAGCTGGTTGATGTAGTCGACCACGTCAAAGTCGGGACGGTCCAGCGGATCGTTACTCGGAAGGACCTGTGCCGAAAAAAAGGGTTGAGATCAATGGGATTTCGAGTGAGACCATGTCATGTCAGGTACCTAGCCTGCAGCCAGGCGCATTTCGTAAGGGAATGGAAATGAGCATACAGCCAAAAGAGCATCTTGAAGGGATTTTAAGACATGGGAAAACTAAGGGCAGGGAGGAACTACTTAAGATTAACCTCAAACTTAAGCACCATGTTTTATAGAACATATATAAAGCAGGAACTGTAGCAAGTCACAGACTGTTTCAGCCTTGTATGCAGTTAAATACTCACCTGATCAATTGCAGACAGAACCTCTGGAGGAAGGTCAATCAGGTCGCCCTCATCCTCATCCAGCTGGAGGTAGCTGTCAGGAACTGAGAACATGTCTGTTCTTTTGGTACTGATATCTGTTGTAAGAGTTGTCTGCAGAATCTTACTTCTTCCTTATCATATCTTCAAAAGGTGACTGTTCCTGTAAAAATATTGATTATTTTATTAGTTCAAAACAGGCTTGTTACCTATTGGAAAAGCTGCCTGATCTTATTATGCTGTGTTAGCAGTTTGCACTATCAGCCCTAGGACATATTTGACCAGCATAGGGCTAATACACATGAACCAAAGTCATCTTTCCAACCCTAATTTTATTCTTGTCCTGTTTTCAGTAAGATCCTTAGATCCTATACAATGTGAGGCATTAAAAACATATTTCCCCAGCTAATCTGCCTAACATTAAAACTTGAGGCTTTTATTTGTATTGAAAGTTAGCAGCATCAACTTTGTCTCTGTCTAGGGTAGGCAGGTGCTTAGTGTTAGGAGGTAGGTAGGCACCTACTACAGAGTTTCCTGGGTAAATGTCAAGATACAGTCCTAAGAAGATTTCAAGAATATTTTTTTTTTTGTTGTATTCTTACATTATTTGACATCCTGAATCCAAAAATTATACCTATTTACATGTCTCACAAATACAAGAAAAATAACATGATCATACCTGACTTAACTTTAGCTACTTACTAACAACCTACCAACCTACAACCTAACAACTTACAACCTATACCTAAACCTACCAGCCTACAACATAAAACTTACAACCTAAAATTTCTGCAGTTATATATTTGTATCAACAGCGCCACAATTGTAGATCGGACCTTGTCTTGACACCCGACTGGAAAAAATGCACGCTTTCGTCGAGAACTCGAGCGTAGTTGGGCGTTTGCGCCGAAAATTTTCGGCGTACTTCGGCGTAAATCGACGGCTTGCGCCGAAATTTTCGGCGTACTTCGGCGTAAATCGCGAAAAAACCGTCAGGTTTTTGCACCAACCCCCCTTGGCCGGCGAGGATTAAATGTCTTCGGGAGTTAAACATCTTAAATATCACTTATCTTGTCTCGTGTTCATCTCAGGGTATTTAAGTCATGTTCAGTGAACCTGATTGTGACTCTCCCACGGCGGGAACAGTTCACCGGTCGAGAGTGAGGTTATGGATTGTCGGATTCCCTAGTTCAGATAACGTATGCTATCGTGTGCGTATTAACCGTTGTGATTCCTGTATTTCCGGCGTGTGGTTTGCGAGCGGACGCTGGCAATCGGTCCCGCGTGGCCTGGTATCTGCCCGATCCCATCGGCCGTGCTTGCACCACGCCTGTTGAAGGGCCCCGTCAGGCGTCAGTCACCGGTTGGGCACTACTGCTGATCAGAGCCGGGCAACAAAATAAAGGTTACATTATGGAACATGCCAGTGAGTTTGGAGTCAGGAGATTTTGTGATAGCGAACGCTGGTGCTCGGTCCCGCATGGCCTGCTGGTGTCTATTGTCTGCCCGATCCCGTCGACCGTGCCAACAACCGTCTGTAGACAGTAGTCACTGGAAGACAGCCACACACACACGCCAGCCCCCCCCCCCTCGACGAAAAGTGCGTGGCTACAGCCTGCAGCCATCAGTAAGCCCTAAGCCTTGAAAATTTTCGGCGCATGAAGCATGGCTTGGTAAAATAATTTCGGCGCATAAACCCTTGCGCCGAAATTTCGGCGCATCACCTCCGCCGAGAACTTCGGCGTAGTGGAGGCATTTTTTCCAGTCGGGTCTTGACAAACACCATTTCGTGCTGGAATGCAAGCTGTGAATGCCAATGAATTTGAAATAAGATTTAACGTTCAGGCTCAGCAAAATGCATAATGCATAAAACAATGGTCAATTACCAGTTACAATAAAAAGAAAGTTTTTTACCATAAGGTACTAGAAACATATACATCAACAAAATAAGCCTCTGTTCCCTCCAGGGTTCAATCAATTCCACTGTGTTTCAGTTTTATTAGGTAGGTAACTACCTACATGTTATGTTAAACAACAAGCTGTTCCGAAGAACATGGCAGGTTTGGTTATGTACAAACACAAACTACAACCTTTATCAAGATAAATCAGTGAAATATCAACAAAAGTAAAAACACAGCATCCATTGTGAAATGGAATGAAAATACAAACACATGGATGCATCAATAAAGCAATAACATTGACGTTGAACCACTAACCAGGCTAGTCTGGCTTGATATAACCTAAGAGTTAGTATCGATACAATTTGTACTTTTTTAGCAAACAAACTTTAACTACCTTTGACTTCAGATGTTAGTAGATGAGCCAAAACAGTCAATGACTTAAATGAATGTTCTTTGATGAACCTCAGTGTCCAAGTAGAATCCAAATGTTTTTTTTTTTTACAGGTCTTGACGACTTGGGGCCAAAGTATATCGTATTCGATTCTCTTTGTTATTGGCATTGTCATCAGATCTTGATCTATGATCAACCTTATTCTGCCTGAGATTTGAGATTCTTGAAGATAAAAAAGATATGTCTAAGCTGTCTAAGTAATTTTCTGAGAACCATTTCAAAAATTTGATGCTAAATAACTTAAAATAAGGCATGGTTTCAGCTACTTTCAATTGATATCTTTAAATTTGCAAAATATCGAAAACTGATTATCCTGCAAAAGAACAAAAAACCTTTAATCGTACTAAACGCGCCAGTACTGTCCTAATTCCAGTTTCAATAAAACGATATCAAAATTTTTAAAGTTGATACAAAATGTCGTTCATTTGCATATAGAATAAAAATATTTTTTTAGTCACGGAAAATGTAACCGTTACTTCGACAATGCTTTTAAAGTAGGCCAAATAAACAAAAAAGTGCATCATAAAATTTTGCCCACTAGGGGCGGTATAAGCCCGTATTTGTTTCCTATGCATATACGGAACCGGAACATCTTTTTGAGTGCACTCTTTTATTTTCATATATTGGTATATAGGGCCTTGCATATATTGTCCATAGTTCTCTAGATACCGTGATGTTGTCGATATACGGCCTTAGTTGAATCTTTTCTATCATGCGAAGTTTCTGTGGATTTTATTCCACCGTCTAATCGGTCTTGACACATGCATAATCTTCTTTTTTTTACTTTAGACAATTAAATGGCAGGTAAGCTTTTTCCAATTTACATTTCAATTTTTGAGTATGTTTTTGTGTCACTACCTATGTATTGCTGTTTATCTTGAGCCCATGTCTACAAGATGATTGGTTTTGTTCTTCTGTTTTCAAATGGCGCTTTTGATTGGCATTCAAACATCTGAAGTTAGTTGGTTATCGTGCTTGGTCTTGGGAGTACCCTTGGCGGTGTTTCACGGGACGCTGCTACCACACTGCTATCAAATTGCGCGAGCTGACGTCACACTTGTGGTAGTGTTGGAGCAATGGGCCTGTTGATGTTTCCATGGAAACCCAATTTGACACGTGTAAAAGCAGCATGCTGCTATCACCGGTGAAACAGGGCCCTTGCTTCAAACTGCAAAGTGTCTAAACCGGAACATCTGACAACATTGACGAACATGCACACCTGAGGTGCGCTCAATTCGATTGGACTCTTGCTGTTCAATTGTTAAACAAAAGGTGGTTGAATGCCAATGCTATTCATTGAAGCCACTCTATTTTTCACACACTAAAAATAGATTTCAGTTATGAAGATCTAAGAAACACCATCTGGTAGCATTCTAATATTAAGTGGTATGGGTGGGTAGGTACCTAACTGAGCATCACTCAGTCACAATCAGGCTGGTTAGCTTTCATTGGATCACTTGGAGTCTTGAGATCAGTAGCTGAAGCTGTTAAAGTTGTTATGCTGTACCCATGTTGATCTCATTCCAAGTTTGCAACTAAGACTTTGTGATGGATGCTGTTTATTTTCATGGTCATAGTTAATAGAATTACCAATGTGTATGATGTTTGTCCCCATTGCAGAGATTGATGATCAGCAGCGTCTAAGGTTCCAGGTTGAGCTGGAATTTGTTCAGTGCCTGGCTAACCCAAATTACCTTAACTGTAAGTACCTGCATATATTGTGAGAGAGGATTTATGGATTACATGCAAAAAAGTTGCTACTGAATGAGTCATCAGTTCGTTTTTGTGAATAGCAGGATGGCTTCATATTCCAAGTACCTATGTAGCCCTTATTGTTAGCCCTATATGTTATTACCCTTATTGTAACCTGAATATTGACCATAGTGGACTTTGAACTTTGGATGTCCAATGCTGAGATGCTGTGGATGGTGAGTTTTTTTATAGTTTAGCACAATGAATATGGCTTCATCCAATTAATGCCTACTGTTCTGGTATTTTGAGTGAATTGAAAATGAGTTTCTTTAATGTTCTTTTATTTTCTTCAAAGTGATCCAAAGTTCTGCTCCTACACTGACATCTTGTGTTATGTTGCTTCCAGTTCTTGCCCAGAGAGGATACTTCAAACAGCAATCCTTTGTCAACTATCTGAAGTATCTGAAGTATTGGACTAAGCCTGAGTATGTGAGGTACATCAAGTAAGTAACACATATTCAATCAAGTTTATTGTTAGCCATACAGTTTATACAGCATCTGTGCAGGGGTGCGGAGCTGGAGCCGGAGCTGGAGCCGGAGCCGCCGGAGCCGGAGCCGGAGCCGTGAAACAATATAGCCCGGAACCGGAGCCGGAGCCGGAGCTGTCAAAAAAAGGCGGCGACTCCGGAAAAAAAAATATTGACCTAGTTCGGTTTGACAGTACAAGGCAGTAAAACATGTGGTATTCAAAATAGCCTTGTTATGCAAATACAGAAGAGAAGCAACGTGAACCAATCGAAATCCCTTTGTCTTTTTTCTTCCACCCGTATTTAATTGTATAGAGGATATACTGAGTACTGGAGCCGGAGCCGGAGTCGGAGCCGCCGGAGCCGGACCATTTTACTCGGAGCCGGAGCCGGAGCTGGAGCCGCCATGACATTTCACCCGGAGCCGGAGCCGGAGTCGTTTTTTCTCCGGAGCCGGAGCCGGCGTCGGAGCCGTCTGAAATTTTCACGGCTCCGCATCCCTGCATCTGTGTATGATAGCTTATCACCATGAGATTATGTACAGTCTGTCTTAAAAGTACCGCGCAAAGTGACGGTGGATCCATCATGCCTGACCGAGGAAGGGCCTACTAAATTTGAGTCACTGAAGCAATTCACATCCTCGTCCATTCCCTAGGTCAATTGGTTCGGTGACTTTCAAATTATAGCAGCCCCTTCCTCAGTCAGGCTTGATGGATCCACCGTCACTTTGCGCGGTACTTTTAAGACAGACTGTACCTACATATATGTTCTTTGCAAGGTTAATTGAAAATGATACATTTACATTGAATGAACAAACTGCCAATCATGAATCATGACCATGATGAAAATAATTCCTGTTTTCTCTCAAGATGTATATTGGATGTGTCATGTAGTGTGTTCCAACTTGACAAATTGTGTTCAATTTTTTTTAACCCAACTTTTGGTCATGTTTCTTTGCAGGTACCCAATGTGCCTGCATTTCCTCGATCTTCTCCAGTACGAGCACTTCCGCAAGGAGCTGGTGAATTCTCAGTGCACAAAGTTCATTGACGACCAGCAGATCCTGCACTGGCAGCACTACACTCGCCGACGCACCCAGCTGCTGTCCGGTGAGGTGTCCCCGACACCGGTCGGCAGCACCACGCCCACCGCCTGACGTGGCCACGCCCACCGCGTGAAGTGACTCCGCCCACTGTGAGTGGACCCGCCCACGTGAATTGATTAACCTGTGGGCTGCAAGCCCGTTGCCACAGTGAGACATTAGAAAACTTTCTCCGGTGTCGCCAACCCCCACTTGAGTACGCGATGTCGGAACCCGTGCTACTCAGCTATCACGACTCAGTGCTGCACGAATCAGACGGTGAGCTACTCGCCGGGCCGCACTGGCTCAACGATAAGCTGATCCAGTTCTACCTGGATTACCTGGAACACGAGGCGTTCCCTGCGGCGGACGTGGCGCTCGTCGGACCGGACGTGACGCAGTTCGCACGTCTCTGCGCTGAGCCGGACCTGGCGGCGTTCCTGGCGCCGCTGCGACTGAAGGAGCGCCGAGGGGTGTTACTCGTCATCAACGACTGCGACCGGCCGGACGCGCCCGGCGGCTCCCACTGGAGTCTGCTCGCAGCCGTCGGCGGCCGCTTCATCCACTACGACTCCATGTCGGGCGGAAACGAGACGGCTGCCCGTCATATGGCGCGCCGCCTGGCGCCCATACTCGGCTGCTCGGCCAAGATGACTGAGGCGTCTTGCAGTCGCCAGCAGAACGGATACGACTGCGGTGTGTTTGCCCTGGTACATGCTGAGGAGGTGCTCCGTCGCCTGGACTCTGGTGGAGACCTGCTGAGGGTGATCGTCTCGCAGGAGCGCGTGGAGGAGGCGCGAAGGGACATGCTGCGACTCATCAAGGAGATCGCTAAGAGGTAGGCGAGGGTGGAGTGTAGAGAGGGGACCGGTGAGGGTGGGAAGGGGGTGTGGAAGATCTCGGCAGCGAGAGGTCGCTGTCCGCTGTTTGTGCTCTGTTGTAAGATTCTGAAGATAGTACTAAGTGAGATAGGACTCTGGTGGATAAAAGACATTTACCGTAGATACATGAACAAATTAATACGCATTACGCACTGATTTTGTGTCGAACTCTGTATTATTATCGGTGTTTGTAATGTATTTACGTTGTTCATGTGTCTGCGGTAAAAGATCTGTCTTGTTGAGGGATCTACCCGTACTTAGTCTTCTTGAGATGCAGCTTCCGCTGATATTGTGAGCTGGAATGCTAGATGCTGCTGAAGTTTGGTACTGAGCTGCTGTACTCAACTTTGGCTATGGATTTATTTAACTATGCATCGATGTCTGTGCTGGTTATATCCTCATTCAAACCACTACTGCCGCGGGCTGACTTCAAATACAGTATGTTTGTAGAAAGGCGATCTATATTGAAATTCATTCCTCTCCAAACAATACTCGTATCATCACATATACCTAGTTAGTATGAACATTCTTCAACAACTTCTATGCGGACGGTAAAGCTCACCCTCCTACATGGACACCATTCCTAGCGGAGACTATTATCTCACTCCACAAACCACACGACGGCGTCGCGCGTTTCCTGATCACTGGGCCCCGGCAGACAGCTCCGTCCTCATCCGCTCTATCTGCGCGGCCACGGCGGCGCGTGCGGTACCCCCGTCGGCGCGGTACTGTTCCACGCTGGCTTCGTAACTCCACAGCGTGGTCACGTCGTCACCGAACGCCGGGCTGGGGCAAGGGGGGGGGGGGGTAAAGGGGATTAGACGGAGACGCACGGAGATTCAGGCGGCTAGCTTCAGGGATGCTCACAATTATGTTTGGAAGTTTAACAGCATGCTCAGAATTGTTATCGGTTTCAAAAAATCATAAGATATCCGAGAGCGCTAATATGCCTCCTGCTGAGTGCTGACTATCCCGTGGTAAACTTTTAGATACTCTTTCCGGCTTGCCTAAATCGCATCAACCGTTCCGTACCCTGCATCGATGCCCATCATTCCTGTAATATACTTCATCATCTACCCACTGCGACATACCTGACGCTCTTGAAGTCGTCCAGGGTCAGCTGGC